GCTGGGGCTGGGGGAGACGCGGTCCAGCCTGAGCGAGGTTTCCCATCACAGAATGTGTGGAACAGAGAGAGGATCCACGCCCGCTGGAGGAAAAACAGGAAGACCGGACAGGGGTTTCTTTTAAACCACCAGGGGAGGCTCTTTCAGAGATGGAAATTGCCATCTTCTCACTGATTGGGTGCTTTGACTTTCCAGGGTACCCAGAAACTATGCCTTCCCTACAGTCCCACCAAAACTCTGTCTGTGAAGTCCATCTTAAGGTGAGTACTTCTGAATAGAAACCCAGCACCAGGGGCCTGTACACGTGTCTTTTCCTGGGAGCATTCTGTTAGCTTTCTATCTTCTGGAGCCTTGGCTGTACCAGGCATTCTCCTAAGCACTTGACATGCATTAGCTCACGTGATCTTCGCAGCAACCCCACAAGGCAGGTACTGTTACAGTCCCCATTTTATAGACGAGGAAGTGGAGGCTCTGAGCCAGCCAGAGTCACACAGCTCGTGTGTGAGGAAATGAGCCCCGATCCGGTCAGGCTGGTTTCAAGCATCGCTCTCAGCGTCTCAGGATCACGTTAGCTGCCTGCTTGTTGCTCCTCGCACGCGTTTGGGTACTTTAGTTTCGTAAGGAAAATCAGGAAATAGTTTTCCTTTCATGTTTCTGCTCTGAAATAGAATCTCTGGTGTCAGCAAATGCTTCTCAGGCAGCACTGTCCTCACTCCTCACCAGCGGCGAAGCGGGTGAGCACGGAGCACCTGCCGCCTCTCGGGTGGGGTGGCAGTCTCCCCTCGGAGTGCCACCCCTCAGACTGGGCCCATTGCTTTGTCACCGGCTAGGATACGACGTGACAATAGCAGCAGCTTCTGTTTGTCAGGCGCTGTGCCAAGTGCTTTACAAACATCTCTCAGTAAATCTTTAAACCAGCTCCACAGAGATCTGCTGTCCATTCCAGTAAGAGGAGGCAGAGCCCGAGAGATGCAGGGATTTGACAGAGGCCACAGCTCGGGAACCGGGAGCTGGGATTGAAGCCCAGGCTCCCATGGCTCCGGGGCATGGCTGTCGACCACGACTGGCCTACCTGGGGATGTGAAAGCTTATCCCAGGGGCCTCTGGTTCATTCTTTCTTCTGCTGCGGCCTAGCTGGTGGCAGGGGTGGTGTTTTCAGTATTCCCAGCCACAGCTCACAGCTGCCAAAGGGTCCCTTAGAGTGACAGACTCGACTCCAGCTGCTAGGATTGCATCTGGCTGATGAAAGGGCACTGAGATTAAGAAGTAAAAAAATTTCTTATCTCATTTTCAAGCTTGATTTGGTCTCCAAATTGCAAACCTCCTCCTCTCTGCTCCAAGCCTTTGGATGCTTCTCCTCAGTCTGAAGCCCACGTTAAGAGCATCCGTGGAGAGGTTAATATTGTTGAGCACAGAAGTATCTTGCTGTTTCTAAATCTTGACTTGCTTTGAAAGTAACTCTTTGAGTTACAGTGGCTTAAGGTAGTTGAGAACCCTTTTTCCCTAAGAAGAAGTCACTTCAGCTCCTTTCTTCATTATATTTAAAAACAAGGGATTTCGTGAAGTTATAATTTCATTTAGTTACGTGAGTAGGGCCCTCCCCTCAGCCCATCTCTCACAGCCAGAGCAAGAAGCTTTGGTAAGAAAAAAATTTTTAAAGATATGTAAAGTGAAAACTTCTGCAGTTTCTCCCAATTGAAAGAGTTTATATTCACTTGTTACAATCAAGAACTTGAAATTTTAAAAGGAAATTAAAATATAAATACTATGGTGTCGGATAAGCCTGATTCAAATCTTGGCTCTATTGCTTAACAGCTTTGTCATCCTGGACTGAGCCTCAATTTCCTCATCTTTAAAATGGGGATAAACTAGTACTTGAATCACAGAGACTAAATGAGACAGACCATGTAGAATGTTTAGCAGAGGGCCTGGAATAAGTAGTATGCTATAATATTAGCTCTTATTTTTACCTTTCACTTATAAACAGAGATCCTCCAGTTCAGTGGCCTTGTTTGCCCTCCCTCGGGACTTAGGCTAAGGGAAATCCACAGTGCTTGTCCAGAGTAAAACAGAGAGCAACCTTGTTAAGGACGTGACGGTCCTTTGCCCTCAGTGGCAGAGGAATTACCAAAGGAAGAAAGATCTAGCAGGTATCTTAATTACATCTCACTTTGTCCGGACTTGCTCTGTCAATGTCAGTGAGGCACTTTTTTAGGAAATAAAAGTAAGAATCATGAAGATTAGTCAAGTTTGCCCGAAACAAATGCTCTTGATCCCTCCCTTCCTCTCTTATCATCGGTGTCACTGGAGGACAGTTATATAAGGAAAGCAGAGTGTGGTATTTCGTTACTGTCATACGTTCACATAGTTATTCATTGACTCCTCCTTTGTTGGTCTGGGTCTCCTGTGGGCCGGGCCCTTCCATGATTTTCTAGGAGATATTGTTTAGCTTCTCTAAAGAACTGCGACTTGTTCCATGTGATTTTAGTTTCCGCCACACTGAGCCTCATTCTGTCCATTCTGTTTCAGTGCCATGAACCTGGACAAATTTGAAAAAGGCCCCAGGGAAATTTTCCATCCTGAGATACAGAAGGTAACAGAGCTTTATGCTTCATAATTGTATCAATTGGATCAGTGTTAGGTCAGAACTGACAGATTAGCATTGATCCTTAGCTGAGGGCACCTACCAGCATCACCTGTGGAGCTTTGAAAACAGCATCATGGAGAACTCACATCTGAGATTCTGATAGGCCAGGGCCAAGGTAGTGGCCAGGAATTTTAGGCATAGCCACAGCTAAGAACCTCTGAAGGATATGGTCCTCCATCCATGAACCAAAAGGTGTGTGTTCAAAGGATCTTATTGGCCTATAAGCCATTCCTTTTACTGAGTGATGTGGAATTATGTGGAAAGTGAGATTTTTTTTAATTAATCAAATATGAAATGTGCCTATCAGGCTCTAATTCAGGTGGAATGCTGTGCTGGGTCTCATAGAGGCCAGAGGGTGTACAGAAAGCCATCCTGTTCTCTTTGGACTTACTGTTAAGAGAAAACAGTCTGCATTGAAAGAAAAACACGTGAGTCATAAGCTAGGTGATAGCCTGTCAGGAAAATGTCAACCAAACGTTTGTCCTGCAGTTGCAATCAGTTTAGCTTTGAAACTCTCCCCTTGAAACATAAACACAGCCATGGTTAGTAGCAGGCCAGCTATGTGTCAGGGAGGCAGGGACGCCAGGCTGGAGACACAGGTTGGGATTCCATCCAGGGAGAGTCTTTCTGCAGAGGGGCTTCGCGCTTAAACCTGCCTCCTGGGGGAGTAACTCAGACACATGAGGGGGCAGATGGAAGGGTGAGCAGTCTTTGCTGGATTACCTTAAAATACAGTTAGCTTGTAAAATAAAGCTATCAGCTCGCAACTCGGCTTACCCCAAATGTAGAGTTGTGAACTATAATATCTTTGGTTTTAATTTCATTGTTAAAATAGTATTTGTACCCTGATTCAGCCCCAAAAGGAACTGAACCAGGTATGTGAGGTTCAATTTGAAGCAATTGTAAGCCATGCTATGCTTTTAAGTAATTTTTATAGCAAACTTAAAAACAAATTAGAACAATAAATATGCCAGTACCGTGTGCCTTTAGTACTTCATTTGGATGGCTTATTATTCTTAATCCTTTCCTTGGAGCTGGGACATGACCCCTAGACACTGGGCACCCAAACCCTTGGAACCACTGGTGCTTCTTCTGCAGCTGCTGCTGAGGCACCTCTGCCCGGCCGCCCTTACCCGCTCTCTCCATAAAATCAAAGAGGACAAGTAAACGAGACAGAGCAACCTCTGCCTGGTTGCAGCATAGCAAAGACTTTCATGCTGTTCTTACATTCGTGCCTTAGCTGTCTTTCCCTTAACAAGTGTTCCTGAGCTGTCCCTACTGTGCGCTATCCCATGTGTGTCAGCAGCAGCAAGTTTCCAGCTCTCATTAGGTTTCCGGAGACTTCCCTTAGGCAGCCTTGAGCAGCCAGCAGGCTTTGGGTTTAGGGCAAAGAGTTCTTACAACTCCCTGGATCCAAAAGGTAAACAGAAAATAAGCCACCTGCATTATAAAAAAGGCCTCTTTCCACCAAGTGGGAAGGTGACTGGTGCTACTTTAAAATGTTATTTATCTGTTTCCGGCTGCTCTGCTATAGCAACATTTTCTTGGCCAAAACCTTCCCAGAAGCAGTGTGCGGTAGGCTGCTTCAGACAGGGAAGCCCAGGCGTCTCTGTTTCTTCCCATAGCTGAACACCGTCTGTTTCCAGATAATATGACTTTCTGAAATGACCAGGTATTTTATAAAAATCTATAGAGCTAAGTCTGAATTTTGAAAGCACTTCTGAGAGGGGGAGGAGTGGTGTAAACCTTAGTAAATTAAAGCTTGGCTTTCATAGAACGTCAAAATAAAACGATCACTATTAAACACGGACATAACTTTTCCAACTTTATTTGACAGGACCTGCTGGTTCTTGAGGAACAAGAGGTGAGTCACTGGATGAGCTGCCCATCCCTGTGCTCTGCCTCCTGTTTATAAACGTGCTTCTCCTTTCTGTCAAATCTCTCCATGGAATTGCACAGTGTGAGGAGTCTGTTTCCTGACATGGTTTCTCAAGGCGTAGTTCAGAATTTTCCATGCAGCCAGCTAGAAAGATATAAAAGCAAGCAAGCTACTTAAATCTGCTTGGGAATATTCAAGTTTTAACCTTGTGATCACTGCAGGTAACAAGGTTTTAATTTTCATTCTGTTCAAAATCTGGAGTCTTCACTTTATTCCACACTCGGTTTACAGGATGCCATGTTTATTTGTGTGTTTCCAGTCCTTGTTGTCCCACTTAATGGGTTATGGGTTTTCTAAGTACATAAATAACAGGGAAATACCTAAAATATTATAAATAGGCAATTTGAGTGAATAAATCATAGTTTGTGCATGCCTCTCAGTACATGGCAATATCATTCGTCCAGTTGCTCAGGCCAAACTTGGAAATATCCTAACACCTCTCTCTCTCTCATAGCCCATGTCTGATCCATCAGCACATCCTGTTGACACTGCTTCGAAATATATCTCATTCATTGACACCGCCGCCATCATCTCTTGCCTGGACTCTGCAGTGTTTCCACTCTTGCCTCTATTCTAGTTTCTACATAGTATCCAAATGGTCCTTTCAAAACATGTCACATCAGGCCATTCCTATGCTCAAAACTGATGGTTTCCCATCCCACTCTAGTAGAGCCCAGTCTGCTTGTCACGGCCTGCTGGGGCCCGTGTGACCTGGCCGTGCCGCCTCCCCAGTCCTTGACTCCACACTGTCCATACTGACTTCTTCCACCTTCTCAGGAAGAGCCTGCTCTTCCCCCGCTGGGATGCTCTTCCCAGGTGTCCTCGGGGCCACACCCTTACTGGATTAGGATCTCTGACCACTGACAATACAGGGTCCTGTTTTCATGGCCTTACGGTGGGGTGGGTAAGACATGAAGCAGGAGAACAGACAAACATAAACATGGCGATATCAATAGCCCAGGAGCTGTGAAGAAGTAGAACAAGGTAGGTGCTAGGGAGGAGGAGCTGGTTTCCTACATGAACAAACAAGGAAGGTCTCTCTGGGGAGTGACATCTCAGCTGCTTTCTGAGCATGGTGATGTAAATGCAGAGAAGGGGGCTGGAAGGATGCACCCAGACCTCAGGGGGGAGTGATTGGGGCAGGAGAGTGGACGTGGAGGGTGGGATGCGGAGGGAGTGGGCAAAGGGAGACATGTATATTTTTATCTATATCTAATCCACGTGTGAATTGTGCTTGTTGCTAAAGAGTTCATGAACTCCATGTGTAGTTTGTAAAAGGCCAAAAATAAAAGTAACACAAGTGACTTCTTGAGATTAAATATCTTTAGGAATCGGGGGAAATGATCTTGTCAAATAAATTGCCTGCAGTTTCCATCTGTATTTCTACAAGAGTCCCCAGGTTCCAGCCTAAGACTGCCGTGTTGAGTTTTGATTACACTGAGCTCTTCTGTGCTGACGGGGTCTGCGCTGCTGCGGGTGGGCTGGTCTGAAGATGGCACCAGTCCTGTGGGTTCTGGCTATTTATCTTCAACTCTGTTTTGCTGCAGATGCCACTACAGATGAATGAACTCACAAAAAAGCATAGAGTTTCACTTGTACACTGTAAAAATCTATAAAAATACAGGATTGATTGCTCTTCATATTGGTCAAAATTGAGCTAGAGGGGAGGAAGTAGTCCCCCAGGGTCCATTCTGTCACGGCCGTTTCCCTACTTAACGACAGCACGTCTCATGACTGTGTGTGTTTTAATGATGAAATTAAAGTCCCCACCTTTTGTTGTCTTATCATAAGGGCTCTGTGAATTTCAAGTTTGGGGTTCTTTTTGCCAAAGACGGGCAGCTCACTGACGACGAGATGTTCAGCAATGGTGAGTGTCCCCTCCTCTCTGCTCATGGAACCCTCTTCCTCCTTGGCAGTTCTGACGTCCAAACCAAACTTGCCAGTCGAGTTGGAGCCTTTAATGCAAAGAAACAGCCAGTAGTTTTATGAAATGTGGGGTACATTTCCAGGGTAAATTTTGTAAGGCAGATGTCGCCCAGGTTTATTCATTTGATAAGTATGTACCAGTCATTTAATTTGTCCCAGGCGTTGGCATCAGAGAGGCAGTCTAAGTGGGAAATCACATGTGATTGGAAGATGCTGGTTCTGCATAGTCCCAGGAGCCGAGGAGGGTTTTCTCTGTGGTTTTCAGGGTCGGGAGAATTATAAATGCTGTCATTTCCTGCTCTTCAGCACTTTTCATGTTCAACACCTGTTTATTATTCATGGAAACAGTAATAATGTTTTCATCTCGCAATGCGAGACCCCTGTGGCCGCAGCCCAGCAGGGGGAAGGTTGGTTGGTCTGGTCCTGTGGTTTCCCTTCCCTGGGGTTCCTGGGAATGGAGGGCCCTCCTGCCTGGGCTCTGGGAGGAAACATTCTCTTCTGCCGCACTCAGCTACAGAGCTGGTTCGTTTTCACGTGACTTCAGGTAGCAAACGAGGACTTGTTGCTACCACACCTTGTTCACACTTTACCTCTCCCTGCAGAAATCGGAAGCGATGCTTTTCAGAAATTTTTAAACCTCCTGGGTGACACTGTCACTCTCAAGGGCTGGACAGGCTACCGTGGCGGTCTGGACACCAAAAGTAAGCTTGCCTCCGGGTTTCTTCTGCTATGATTTATAGAAATTTTGTCATCAGCCTGATCCGTATTTCAGTTTATACCCAAGATGGGGAGAGAGGACAAGAGGGAATTTGAGCTTCACCCCTAGGCTGGGGGGG